AATTGTGTTCTTGTTTTGTTCGGCACATTTTGATTTATGCACTGGCTCTTAGTTGCAATGAGGATAACACTATTTTCCGATTAGTAATGCTATATTACGTGTAAGTGTTATTACGCGTATTATGTGACATGTGTTTTTGGAAGAATGTGCGTGCATCTTAAGTTAAAGACGTCGAAAAGACAGGTTTTCTGGGTTTACGAGTTTTAGTAAATTTGATTTTTCCCATTTAAACTAATTTTTTTCTTACTTGCAGCCTATCATTTTATTTTTGTATGACTAAAGCCCGATAACTAGCATTGCATAAGCAAATGATCTAATTTAGCTTAATATAGTATTTATTGTACTTTTCAAATCCAAAAATTCCCCTACTTACAATTTTACTTGTTATATATGGGGTGTATTAATTTTTGGTTCCCTAAATTATTGAGCTTGGGGTTATTTAAATGGGAAGTGTCTAAATTTGAATGACCCGAATAGTTAAGCGATTCGAGCCTAGTTCATACATCACCTGTTTTAATGAGTTCACAAGAAGAACTCAAGCACAGGTCACAAGAAGAACTCAAAGTCCTACAAAAGCTAGAGAAAAAACTCCACGGATTCAGATTCTCAGTCTTCGATTTTAATGAGTTTCTGACACAAAGAATGAATCATCCTTCTAAATATGGTATCAATTCTATCTATATACGCTTTGCTTTCTTAATTTTGATATCGTTCTTTTAATTAAGTACTAATTATTTAACCGACCATTTTGACATTTAAGCCTTATGATAAAATGTTGGAAAATTATAAGGTTTCGTGGAAGGGGAGGCGGCATGCTGTGGAAGTGGTGTATATGGAGGAATTTATAACTGTGGAGGAATGAAGATTCCCAAAGAGTATAATTTATGCAAGAATGTTAGTGAATATGTATACTTTGACTCTGCTCATCCAACCGACAGGGTCTACGAATAGTTTGCCAAGAAAATATGGAGTGGAAATTCCATCACTACGCCTTACAATCTGAAAACTCTATTTGAAAATTAGAGCGAAGTAAGATTATAGTAAAGGCAGATGATCCGATGGTCAATAAGCAAATCATTTGTACTTTTTTTTATATATATCCAAGTCACGGATATTTGTCTTTTTTATTTTAAATTGTGTGATAGGTACAATAAGAAATGTTAAAGTGTGCTATTTGTGAGTATTGAGAATATGGAATTCGACTTAATAAATAAAAAATTATACTCTTGGATGAAAATATATAAATATATCGAGCATTTTCATTATTAATAGTAAAATCATTTATTATATGTTGTAATTTATATAATCAAATATCCGATGTGAAATTTTATATTCTTTTAAAATATTACACTTTTTTTTTTCTTTCTCTTTCACCTATATATTGTCAATTTCACGAGTTCTTACAATGTGAAAATATTAACTTTGATAGCATGACCGTATCGTAATTCAAAATTAAGCTTAAGCTATTGGGGAACAACTGATATGTCAAGCTTTGTCTCAAAAGGTGCAGCCTTAGTATTGAATGTTATAAATGTGTGAGGTGGAAAGAGAGCCAACAAATAAACAGATGCTGAGCCTCTGCTGAAATTGGTAATTAGGTAGAAGGGGTAGAATTTAAAATTCTAAACAAGTTGTGACAACAATACTCAAATATGTCTAACTAGTCAATAATTATTTATAGACATATTTGCAAGCAATAGATATACAGATTCAAATCAAATACATTCACAACACCTGCAAGCTTAAAAGAGGGAGCTAAGTGACAACTCAGGTATTCAGAAGGATCCATCAATCTAGGTATTTCCAGTGTTAGCAACAACTAGAGTGATAAGTGTTTGAACATCCATCAGAATCATACACCAGTATTGAACAAGTATGACTAGTCAAGATAACCAGAATCAACATTAGAAATATTCGCCCAGAAACCCACCACTAGGAAAAATTAGGGGTCATCATTCAATCAGGCAATCCACTAAACAAAAAAGATTATTGTACGAAAAGGCTATTACAAGCTCAAGAAATCCTAGATCTATTTAGGAAAACAACTATACCTTACTGGGCACTTTTCTCTCCCTAAAAACCCATATGACAAATGTAAAATGAGAAAGTTGGTAAGTCCAGGGCAATCCCAACCTTTTTGGTAAAATTTGGCAGGTCAAAAGAACACTTGGTAGCCAATGGTTGGACTTATAAAAAGCAAAATCACGTGCCTTGATTAAAAATCTTGTGCTGAAAATATTTGGGATATATGACTAGTCATCTAGACAAAGTATTTTGATGCAGATGCTAATTTTTTCTAATGATGTCCATTGTAAATGAATGCATAAATTACGTACCTTGGTTTTGTAGCCACATAAGCTCTTTAATGTACTTCAACTTCTTCTGTAGCAAATACCCAAGTCCTAATTTCTAAAGATGAGCCAAGAGGAATTATATCAAATTGCACTTTTGGCAAGGAAAGCCAATTTTAAGAATTCCAATATAAACATGAGTGCTGTTATTTCCACCCACCTGTCCTATTTTCCCACCCACTTTATATTTAAACTTTTAAAGAAAAATTTAACCTTATTGATAAAATGACTTAAAAAAGGAAAAAAAGAAAGAAAAAGAAAAAAAAAAAAAAAAAAAAAAAAAACAGACTTCTCAGTTCTCAAGTAACCCTATCGTTACACAAGAATACGACTCCTTGCTCATGAGAAGGCGAAGAAGGCGAGTACTGTTGTTTTTCCCTTATCTGTTTGGCTTTGTACTCTTTGACATTCTCATGTCTTAAGAATGGGCGTTTTATATTTTTTATTGCAAAGTTCAATAGATTTCTGGTCCTTGGATAACTCTGGAAAAAAAGTTTATTTACAATAGTAGAAAGCTAAGAGCATAAATGTGATTATATTCACAGAATCCATATTTACAAAAATAAAAATTACAGCAAAAAACTGTTTTAATTCAGTAAACATGAGAGATAGAGACAGAGATGGAGTGTGAGAGATGGAAAATAAGATAGAGAAAAATAAGAGAGATGTGTCGTCAGAGAGAGAGAAAAGACATGAGCAGAGAGAATAAAGGAGAGAGGAAATGAGGTAATAATTATAAGGGTATTTTAGGAATATTGGTGGGTGTAAAAATAGGATTGTGTTTTTTTAAAATTTATGTGACGGGTGAGAAGATAAGGTGGGTGGGAAAATAAGACAAGTGGGTGGAAATAGCAGCACTCTATAAACATATACATTTAGCATTGGTGTATTTATAGGCGTCAAATAAAATCATGAACTTTCCTCCTTTTTTCTTTTGAGCAGACGTACTTTCCTCTTTTGTAATAGTTGACTACTGGTAGGATTATTCTCTAACCATATGTAAAACTTCCTATAGTTACATCCTGTATATAATGTATTTCATACATAAATCAAATCATTGAGGAATTCAGCCAAAGCTTCTCTCTTCTTTACCCTTCTGCAAACTCCAATGAGATATTTTGACAGCCTGTGCGAGTATTATGTTTAATGGGGCCTCAAGCTTAAAAGTAGGATTTTAAATTCATAGTTTATTAGCCATGTGTTTTGCACCTGCAATTGCGTAAACATGATTATCCCCATGTGGTTGTGGATCTTATCATAATGTTTAACTAGTCACGTGTTTCAAGAGCTGATTAGTATTAACTAGTCACAATGTTTAAAATAAGTTAAATGTTATGGTGCTTTTAAATGAGGAAATTTAAAAGTAAAAAGGATTTCATAAATAACGGAATTTAAAATGACAAAAATTAATGTTCTACAATTTGTAAAGTTTTTTGTTTGGGTAACGACTTTAAAACACGAAAGTTACCATTTCTTTGTAAAGTTACTTTTTTTAAAAACTCAATCTTTCTTAAAATTTTAGAAACGACGACTTTTAGATAGAATTTAAAGTTGAGATTTATGACCTCTAAATTTCATTTTTTTCCCACTTGGAATTTCTAAATTTCTATGTTTTTTTATTGAGATTTTCTATTTAAACATCACACTTCTCTTTGTTCACCCCAACTTCTAATTTAAGTTTTCACAATTTCTAAGAAAACTCCACTATCTTTCCAAATTACCCTTAAATACACCCCAAGTTGAAAAATTAAAAAATAAAAGAGTTTTTCTATATAAACCCCACTATCTTCCTACTACACACTACAGAAAAAAAACATATATCTAAACTGAATAGTGGGGAAAAAGATGAAGAATGCCCCTATTTTTTGAGATGAAGATGAAGGTCCCTGTGCTTGCAGCAAGACAGACAGACTATTATAGTTTATCGTTTACTGTTAATGGAAAGAGATCCTAGACCAAATAAAGATTTCTAAATTAGAAATTAAAGGAGGAGATATTTATTTGCATTGTAGACAATGTGGGAGCGATTTTCGTCCCACAAGAATATTCGATCGATTGATTCCCCTTTCTTCTTCGTTGTCTCTTTCTTCCTGCAAAATATATTGGAATAAGAGGACCACACCGGGCGGGTGTTGGCCAAAGGCCCTCCGATGCCTAAGTTAGTTTAAGTGTTTGTAGGAAAATAATAGCTAACGGAAAGGGTACGGAGTTGTATGTATGGTGTGAACCGGGTTGCCGGAGTCGTGTGTGGTGGCCGAAGCCTTGTGTGTGAGAGAGAAAGAGTATGGCAGCTAGGGTTTGTGAGAGGGAATTTCTGTAGAGTTTCAGATAGAATTTTAGACGTACATAAACCCTTATGCTTAGCCATCTATTTATAGGAGCCTCGGAAGCTAGAGTTTCATAAGAATAATTCCACAGATGGAAATGAATTATTCTTCTATGATTTGGCGAGATTGGTGTAATTAGGGATTTGATTTAAATCAAATCCCTAATTAAGGTAAGAATAAAATAAATCCTAATTTAATCAGGTAACTCCTAATTAAATTGAGTAACTCCCAATTAGGTCAAATAATTCCCCAATTGATTGGCCTAATTATTTGACCTAGGATATGAGATATTTTGCTTCCACAAATGCCCCCCAACTTCTACATGGCGTGTGGTGACATGTAGGAGATGTTGATTGACTGTTGGACTGAGCTTCCTTCTTGGATTTGGAGACTTTTTGCAGATTGGGTTCTTAATTGGAGTAGACTTTTGACTGTTCTTGGAGTTGGGTTCCTTGTAGGAATGGGCTTACGATTCCTTCTTAACATAAGATGCCCAACCTGTGTAAATGCAGGGCTTCTTTTCACTCTTATTCACATCGCAAACTTAACTTCTCTACTTTCTAGCTTGAGAGAGATCTTGGAGAATTTGACTGCTTGTCGAAGAGGGGAGTCGCCGTGCATTCCAAGGTAAGTCGAGCACGTATATTTCTTTTTCTTCATATTTTCTTCTTGTTTGTGGCAAGGGCCAGCTAGGGAAGCTCGACTAGTTGTCGTCGTGATAGGCGACGGTTGGCAGTGGAAGGCAACTGTGGTGGAGCAGGTGTGTGCAGGTGGACCAGCTACTACTTATTGTCGCACATCTGGGTTGAAACATGCTGGGCAACATCAGCTGAGCGAGTATCAAGGGGAGGTTGATGGTTTGCCCCCTACTCAGGATGTTGAGAGATGGAAGCATAACGTTCTAGACTTTGATGATTTGCTTGCAGAACATGAGGAGTGTTCTGCCCAACCCCCTCGAAGAGGAAGGCTGAAGTCAAGTCTTCAAGAAATGGAGCTGTGGCTTCGCGGGCGAAGGATGTATCTACGTTGAGGAAGAAACTAAGGCTCCCTTCTGTTGAGAAGACATAAGTAGGAGTTGCTCCCCCTTCATTTGCTAAGGTTAAGCACCTTTGTTGGCATAAACAACAAGAAGGTTGGCGGTATGCAAAACACTCAGAATGTCCCACTCAAGCCTACTGCTGACAAGCTTAGAAGCCGTGATTTGCTTCGGGAAGTGGTCTGCTTGCTGAGAGGCAAAGAGATGCTGATATTCCTCTCTGTGGTTCAAGTTGTCTGCACTAGTGAAAGGATGGAGATCAAACTTGGAGGTTTGCTAATCCGCCCATCCATTAGGGTCTAGTTGTTGAGTCACGAGCAGTCAAGCGTGGAGTTGATTCAGCGTCGTTAACTTCATTGGAGGTGAGGATGACGGTGGCTAAAAAGACGAGAGAGTTATCTGCCGGTGAAAGGTTGTTCTGCAATGTCAACGGCTGATTCTAAGGTGGACAAGTCCAGCCTTGGAGGGGATGCAGGTGTGTCTAATCTACTTAAGATGAACTTTCTGTCAAGTGCATCCATTGGTGCTGAGTTGGTTGATCAAATTCGTCAGGCTGACGAAATTAGTACTTTCTCAAGTCTTTCCTTAGAAAAACAAAAGGAAGCAACATTTCATCTACTTAAAAGAGGAGTAGCTTTTGCTGTTAAAACTATTCGGAACTCGTCTATTGTTACCCCCTCTTCTGTTGCTGACTTGGTTAGTCGAAAAGATGCATACTTTCCTCTTGAGCACAAGACTGCTGACAACACTCTTAGTTATGACAAGCTCCTGGCTAGATTTTGTGCTTATCACAAGTCTACTGAAGAATCCAAGTTCGAAGCTACTATGGATGCGAACAAGCTAGGCTGTTTGGACTGCAAAAATGGGTCTGCTCTCTTTTACGCCATTGGAGATGAAGACATCGAAAAGCTCTGCCCTAACTTGCTCCCTATTCAAAGTAAGTAGGTCAATGCTGTGAACATGGAAGGAGCTGAAGAGCAGGCGGCCGAAGTGGGGGTAACTCAAGAGGGTGGAGCAAAGGAGGACGCCGTTGATGAGATGTCGACAGATGTTGTTGATAGGGCAGGTGAAGCTGCTGAGAGTACGGTTGATCAGACAGATGTCGAAGAGGCTGTAGATCAGGGATCTCTTGCTGGCGTTCTGGAGTAGATGAAGACTCATCTATTTCTTTTCAGTTTTTGTAGTATGTTTTCTTGTTTAGAATAATTGGTCTTACTTGACCATCTTTTTGTTGAACTCGACTGGTTGGTCATTTTGCTATGGAAATTTCAATTGCTTGTTCTAACTTCAATTCACATAATGTCTTGTGAAACTGATTGAGTGTTTCTGGGTTGTAGCATGTTTGGCCTATGTCCGGAGACGTGTCGATGAGTGTGACCTGTTTGGCCTACGTCCGGAGACGTGTCGATGAGAGTGGCTCGTTTGCTTGGTTGGTTGATCTTGCTACTTGGTAGACTTCTTCGCGGCAATTCGATTGTCATCCCAGAGGGCGTAGTATTCCGCGGTCGAGAAGACCTTTGCCAGAGTCTGGCTGGGAGTGATAGTCAACTCACGGTATAAGTCGTGCTTAGCTGGAAGACTTTTCTTGAAAACAGAGGATGTGATTTGGTCATCGCACCCTACAATGTTGGCCTCAACGTTTTACGTCTTTAAAGAGAAGAATAATTTGGCAATAGGATGTAGATGAGTTTGTATTTTTCTAAAACTTAATGTGAAGAGTGGTGAGGTGTGTGGAGGGTGTGTATAGATGTATTAGGGTTAAGTATTAAGTTGGATGACTTCTTTCATCTTTTAACATAATAACAAAACTTACAGCTTAATGATTTAAGCATTGAGGTGAACAAAGAGAAGTGTGGGGTTTAAATAGGAAATCTCTTTTTATTTATCCAAACACGGGAATTGGTTCATGTCAATTTAGAAATTTTTGACTTTTATAAAAATCCCAAGTTTATTTCCCTTATCCAAACATACCACAAGAGTTATCATTTTGGAAATTGTATAAAAAATATATTGATGATGTGATGATGTGATTGTTAGCGAGATCCTAGTCTTATTAGGATATTTCTTTCTTATTCTATTAGGATTTTATTTATTTCCTTTTTGTATAGTTATTATGTAATTAGGACTTTTCTTATTTCCTAGTATAACTCTGCTAGGGTTTGTACCTTTGTATTATAAATACCTCATTTCGGAGAATGAAATAAATCTGAAAAATATTCTACCCATATTGTTTGATTTGGCATTAGAGCCTCCTTTTCTGGTGACCTGTGTGTTGTGCCCACCCGTGTTCTATCCCCATATTTTTTTTTCTCTACCTGTGCGTGTGTGCCCTCTTGGGTTTGCGTGTCGTGTTGTAATGTTTGTGCATCTACTGTGTTCGTGTCATTTCTGTCTTCGTGCATCTGCCGTATTTGTGCCTCTGTTGTGTTCTGCCGTATACTCTGCCCGTAATTTGTTGAATTTCTGCTGCAATCATGGGTGATAACTCCATTGTTGGTGCTGTTGCTATTGCCTCTACAAATTTGTGTGTCTCTGATTCTATTCCAGGTACTGGCTCCAATACTTGGATAATTGACAATGGTGCTTCTGATCATATGACTTATGATGCTAAATTTTTTGATGAGTTGTCTAGTAACACCCGTGACCCATACATAACTAGTGCTAATGTCTTGCCCTCTCCAATTACTGGTGAGGGCACAATCTCTCTCATTCCTACTCTGTCATTATTTCGTGCGTTATTAGTTCCCAATATCCATTGTAACTTGTTATCTGTTGGTCAATTACTTGATACACTTAATTCTTCTGCTACTTTCTATCCTACGCATTGCTCTTTTCAGGATCTCAAGACTCACGAGACGATTGGGCATGGTAAATGGATAGATGGGGTTATATTATTTGACATTGCCTTCTGCACCAGTTTGTGATCGTGTCGTTAATACTGTTCAAAGTTGCAGTATCAAAGACAAACAACAAATTTGGTTATGGCATCGTCGCTTGGGACACCCATCATTTGGCTACCTTAAGCGTCTGTTTCCATGTTTATTCCGCTATTGTGATGAATCAAGTTTTAAGTATGAGACATGTATTTTGGCCAAGAGTCATCGCACTGTGTTTCCTTTGAGTGACAGTAAAGATGCAAAGCCTTTTGATTTAGTGCATTATGATGTGTGGGGTCCGGCTCGCATTACTTCAAACGGATTTCGTTCGTTCGTCACATTTATTGATGATTGCACCCGACTCACTTGGGTTTTCTTGCTGAAAAATAAACATGATGTTGCTTCCATCCTTCCAGAGTTCTGTACTATGGTGTCTACTCAGTTTAATGCTTAGGTCAAAGTATTCCGGACTGATAACGGAGGCGAATATGTGAATAACACTTTAACATCTTTCTTCCGTGCTCAAGGTATTATTCACCAAACGACAACCCGATTTACTCCTCAGCAAAATGGTTTGTCTGAACGCAAGAATCGTCAGTTACTTGAAGTTGCCCTCCCCCTTATGTTGGACATGTCTGTTCCCCATCATCTTTGGGGGTATGCTGTTTTATCTGCTGCCTATTTGATTAATCGTACTCCTAGCCGGGTTCTTGATTTCAAGACTCCACATGATGTGTTTGGTGACCATGTTTCCCTTGTCTCAGTCTCCAAGTTGCCCCCTAAAGTCCCCCTTATGTTGGACATGTCTGTTCCCCATCATCTTTGGGGGTATGCTGTTTTATCTGCTGCCTATTTGATTAATCGTACTCCTAGCCGGGTTCTTGATTTCAAGACTCCACATGATGTGTTTGGTGACCATGTTTCCCTTGTCTCAGTCTCCAAGTTGCCCCCTAAAGTCTTTGGATGTGTTGCCTATGTTCATGTCTACTTTCATCAACGGAGTAAACTTGATCCTTGTGCTCTGCGATATGTTTTTTTTGGTTACTCGTCTACTCAGAAAGGTTATAAGTGCTATCATCCACCTACCCAGAAGGTGCATGTTACTTTGGACATGAATTTCCATGAAGAAGTGCCCTATTATGTATCTCCCTCCTCTCCAATTCAGGGGGAGTGAATTGGAGAGTCTTGGATTGGAGAATGATGTGTTTGAAGATGCTGCTCTTGGGAAGGAAATGACCTGTCGCACTGAAGCAAGTGACCGGTCACCCATATCTGAAGATGAAACTTGTGGTCCCTATGAAGAAACTACTGATCGCCCTTTGGAACTCGATCAGTCGCCCATATCTGGAGATGAAGCAGGTGCTCTCGGTGTCACTGAAGCAAGTGACCAGTTGCCTGTATCTGAAAATAATGACAGTGATTCTTATATGGATGAGTTCGATGTAATACCCCCATCTGCCCTGCCATTGCCCTAATCTACTCGTGATAGTGAATCAAGTGAGGTAATTTCTAATGATCTACCTGTGTTAACTTATCAGTTACCCCCACGAACCACTCGTGGGAAACCTAAAGTACAATATTCTCCTGATATACATGCCAAGTCTAAGTATCCCATTAGTCATTTTGTGTCAACTCATCGTTTGTCTAAGTCATATGCATCATATTTGTGTCAATTATCTAGTGTATGTGTGCCAACTAAGCTGCATGATGCTTTATCTAACCCAAAATGGATGGATGCCATGAATGTTGAAATGGATGCTTTGAACAAAAATAAAACATGAGATTTAGTTCCTTTGCCACGAGGGAAGAAAGCTGTTGGATGCAGATGGGTGTTTACTTTGAAGCATAAAGCTGATGGTTCCATTGACCGTCACAAGGCTAGATTGGTAGCAAATGGTTATACTCAGACCTATGGAGTTGATTATTTAGAGACCTTTGCTCAAGTGGCAAAGCTCAATACTGTGCGTGTACTATTGTCCTTAGTTGCTAACCGCGACTGGCCCTTATTACAATTCGATGTCAAAAATGTATTTCTACATGGTGACCTCAAAGAGGAGATTTACATGGATCTCTCTCTTGGTATTCCTATAACCTCTAAGGAGGGTGTTGTGTGTAAGCTGCGGAAGTCTTTATATGGATTGAAGCAGTCCCCAAGAGCGTGGTTTAAGAGATTTGCAGCATCTATGAAGAAATTTGGGTATGTACAGAGTAACTCAGACCATACTTTGTTTCTAAAGCGTCATAAAGGTAAATTGATAGCTTTAATTATTTATGTTGATGGTATGATTGTAACTGGAGATGATCAGGCAGAAATGCAAAATCTTCAGAAGTATCTGGCTTCCGAGTTTGAGATGAAGTCATTGGGTGATTTGAAGTACTTTCATGGGATTGAAGTTGCTAGATCTAAACATGGTATTTTTCTGTCTCAAAGAAAATATATTTTGGATTTACTTGCAGAGACTGGAATGTTAGATTGTAAACCAATTGATACCTATTGAACAGAATCATAAGTTGGGGTTGTATCCTGATCAAGTCCCTACAGATAAAGAGCGTTTTCAACGACTTGTGGGGAAATTGATTTATTTATCTCATACACGTCCTGATATTGCATATGCAGTGAGTGTAGTGAGTCAGTTTATGCATTCTCCTAATGAAGATCATATGGGTGCTGTGATGCGCATCTTGAGGTATCTGAAAGTAACTCCTGGAAAGGGGTTAATGTTTTGCAATTATGGTCATACATATTGGAAGGGTATACGGATGCTGATTGGGCTGGTTCAGTCATTGATAGACGTTCTACGTCTGAGTATTTCACATTTGTTGGTGGTAATCTTGTTACTTGGAGGAGTAAAAAGTAAAAAGTGGTGTCTAGATCTAGTGCTGAGGCCGAGTACCGTGGGATGGCTCAAGGTGTGTGTGAGTTACTATGGTTGAGAAGATTGTTGAGAGATCTTGGGTTTGGACCCCAGAAACCCATGGATCTGTATTGTGATAATAAAGCTGCAATTGCAATTGCGCATAACCCTGTGCAACATGATCTTACAAAGCACGTGGAGGTTGATCGACATTTTGTTAAAGAGAAGTTAGATGCTGAAATTATTTCTTTTCCGTTTATATCATCCGAGTACCAACTGGCAGATGTTCTTACGAAAGCTGTGTTTACTACGGTCTTTCTCAACTCGCTTGACAAGTTGGGCATGCGTGACATCTTTGCCCCAACTTGAGAGGGAGTGTTAGCGAGATCCTAGTCTTATTAGGATATTTCTTTCTTATTCTATTAGGATTTTATTTATTTCCTTTTTGTATAGTTATTATGTAATTAGGACTTTTCTTATTTCCTAGTATAACCCTGCTAGGGTTTGTAAAATATTTGTTTGCTTGCTTTATGTATATTATTATTATTATTCCTTGTGAAAAAACGATGACGTTCACCTTATTTATTAATTATTGTTTTTGATTTACAGACAATGATCGTTTTAATTTTTAACTTGTTTTGGATTTAATTTTTAATTCAGGTGCCCCCTATAAATATGAAGTGAAGCTAGATGAGGTGAAGATGCAATTAGTTAATAGACAGATATGGCAAATATAAGGTATATCCAAATGTTCGTCTTTGCCTTGTGTTCAAGCCTTCTCATTATCACAACCCAAAGCCATGGCCGTTCTGGGTTGCCAAAAAGACATGCACCTCTTTTCATATTTGGGGATTCAGTCTTTGAGGCTGGAAATAATAACTACTTTAACACTACAGCCCGGGCAAATTATAAGCCATATGGTGAAACCTACTTTAAGTACCCAACTGGGAGATTTTCTGATGGTCGTCAAGTTCCAGATTTTATTGGTAAGATATGAATCTTTTTAGTTTTTAAATTTATATTTTTATAAAGATATATATGTATATGAAATATGACTAGACATTATTTTATTGTTGCAGCTCAGTATGCGAAGTTGCCATTGATTCCACCATATCTACAGCCCGATTTGCATGATCTTTCATATGGTGTCAACTTTGCATCTGCAGGATCTGGTGCTTTGGATGGAACTCGCCAAGGCTTGGTATGCGACATATTTGTTTCACGGTTACGACTATTGCTAATTGACACACATCAGTCTACCAAGCACATAATGTGATTCAATAATGTAGTACTAACCAACTTCTTGAAAACTATATGATCTCCTGTCCATATGGAAATGGTTACTTACTATTTTTCATATAACATACATCATCTATTTCTCTTTGAGATGGAAATCATCGCTTTGAACCTTGTTTCAGGTGATGAGCCTTAAAACTCAACTGTCAAATTTCAAGATCGTCAGGAAGTCGTTGAGGAAGAAACTAGGCGATGAAAAAGCCAAATCTCTGCTATCAAGAGCTGTTTACTTTTTTAATACTGGAAGCAACGATTACCTTTTCGCATTCGACACAGACCCAACTGTGCTCGGATCCTACTCTCAACAGGAATATGTAGACCTGGTGATAGGCAACATGACTGCAGTGGTCGAAGTAATGAAATCTTAGCACTTCAAAAAAAATGAACAGAAAATCCCTTTATGCATATTACTAAAAAACATTATTAATTTCGATGACATGTTTTAGGGAATCTATAAGAGAGGAGGAAGAAATTTTGCGTTGCTTGACCTCTGGCCTATGGCTTGTCTTCCATACGGAAGAGGAACACTTCAAAAAACAGGTGCTTGCTTTGATACAATTACACCATATGTGACACTACACAACAAAAGACTTGCCAATGCCCTACAAAAGCTGGAGAAGAAACTCGAGGGATTCAGATACTCATTCATCAGTTCTAATGAGTTTCTGACAAAAAGAATGAACAACCCTTCTAAATATGGTATTAATTCCTTCGTTATACATGGTTTTGATGTCATTAATTATGTTAATTACAATTTATTCAAGCGACCATGTTTTTGTTTTGTGATAAAATTTTTGGAAAATTGTAAGGTTTCGTGGAAGGAAAGGTGGCATGCTGTGGAAGAGGTCCATATGGAGGAATTTTTAACTGTGGAGGAATGAAGATTTCCAAAAAGTATAATTTATGCAAGAATGTTAGTGAATATGTCTTCTTCGATTCTTCTCATCCAACCGAGAGGGTCTATGAACAGTTTGCCAAGAAAATATGGAGTGGAAATTCCATCACTGCGCCTTACAATCTGAAAGCACTATTTGAAAATTAGCTAAGTAAGGGGATGATCTGATGGTGAATAAGCAAATAATTTGTACTTTTTGAAAGAGAGGCAACAACTCATATGTGAAGCTTTGTCTCAAAATAAGATGCAGCCTTTGTATTGAATATTAAAATTGTGTGGTGGTGGAAGGAGAGCTATCAAATAAACATTATTTCATATGGTAACGTTTTGTTAACTTTGTCTCAAAGGTGCAGAGCCTTATGGATGGGCCTGTCATCTGTGAGTGTCTTTGCGACATATATCTAGCTGGGCACCATGCTTTTGGTTTTGGAGAGATTCTAGGGATAGCAAATTATTATTTCTGGCTAATAATACAATGACATGTGGGATAACTTTTTCACTTGTCATTGTGTTATTGATTGAGAATAACAAAACAGTGTTATCCTTGCTACAAATTTTTTTTTCCATGCGTATCAAGTGCACCTCAACTCTACGCAATAACGCAGAATTTAACACAAATGATTGTCTAAACTACTCTAAATTAATTTGGGAGATCGGAACTTAAGTGCAAAATGGTTGGCTCACTGCACTGACCACTGACATTACCCCACGAGACCACATCTGCTATATATATCTTCAATTTTAAAAGAATGAAGGACATAAGCTAAATACAAACACATGGAATGCAATGAAAAAGAAAAGTTCTTTGAATCAAATCTGAATAATTGTAATCAATCCCAAAAGAGCATTAACTAGTCCACATCAAATCCAATCGAGATCTTTTGACAGAGGTGGAGGATTCTGTTTGATGGAGCAACAAGCTTAAAAGTATAGGATTTTAATTTCATAGTCTATTAGCCAAATTTTTATTAATTTTGGTTCTCTCAGGAACGTGGCTGTGGATCTCATCACGGTATTTAATTAGCCATGTGTTCCAGCAGGTCGTTATTGTAAACCTGATTAATTAGTATTTATATGGACATGTCATTTTGGACATCAGAAGTCGTGATGATAATGTAAAGTATTTGTTTGCTTTTTGTATATTATTATTCTTACGGAAAACTACGATTTATGCACATTTTGATCGTTTTAATTTTTTTAAAGGGGAGATATAGTTGTTTACTTGTTTTGGGCGGCACATTTTGATTTATGCACTGCCTTGAGATGCCCCTATAAATATCAACTGAAGCGAGATGAGGTGAAGATGCATCTAATCTAATAGATAGAAATGGCAAATATCCAAGTCTTTGTCTTTGCCTTATGTACAAGCCTTCTCATTGTCACAACCCAAAGCCATGGCCATTCTGGGTTGCCAAAAACACATGCACCCCTTTTCGTATTTGGGGATTCAGTCTTTGAGGTTGGAAATAATAACTACTTTAATACTAGTTGGCAGGCAAATTATTCGCCATATGGTGAAACCTTCTTTAAGTACCCAACTGGGAGATTTTCTGATGGTCGTCAAGTTCCAGATTTTATTGGTACGTAGAAAATTTGATATGAGTGTTCTTTTATATAAATAATCTGAAATATTACTAGACAATTTTATTGTTGCATTGCAGCTGAGTATGCGAAGTTGCCATTGATTCCACCATATCTACAGCCCGACAATCATGAATTTTCATATGGTATCAACTTTGCATCTGCTGGAGCTGGTGCTCTGGTTGAAACTCGCCAAGGTGCGGTATGTGACGTGTTTTTGCAAGAATCTGGGTGCATCTTAAGTTAAAGTTGTTGAAAAGACGGGTTTTCTGGGTTTAAGAGACTTGAGCGATTCAAGTTTAATATTTAGGGTTCACGGTATTGCTAATTGACACCTCAATCTACTGAGCACATAATGCGATTCAGTATAGTACTGACTTCCTGAAACTATGATCTCATGTCCGTATGAAATGATTACTTATTAGGTTTACATCAACTATTTCTCTCTATGATATGTAAATAATCACTTTGAACCAACCTTGTTTCAGGTGATAGGCCTTCCTTCTCAACTGTCAAATTTCAAGATCGTTAGGAAGTCCTTGAGGAAGAAACTGGGCAATGAAGAAGCCAAATCTCTGCTATCAAGAGCTGTTTACTTTTTTAGTATGGAAGCAACGATTACATTTCCGTTCGACACGGACCCAAGTGTGCTTGGATCCTACTCTCATCAGGAATACGTAGACCTGGTGATAGGCAACATAACTTCAGTGGTCGAAGTAAATTCTTAGCCCTTGAAAAGAACAAAAAGAAAAAAAAGAAAAAAAAAGAAAAAAAAATGATAACCCTTTTTATGCATATTAATTACAAATTAACATTAATTTCGATGTCTTGTGTCAGGGAATCTATAAGAAAGGAGGAAGAAATTTTGCGTTGCTTAACCTCTGGCCTATTGCTTGTCTTCCATACGCAAGGGCACTTAAAACGGAAAAAGAAGGTGCTTGCTTTGATGAATTTACACCATATGTGAAACTACACAACAAAGCACTTGCCAAAGCCCTACAGAAGCTAGAGAAGAAACTCAAGGGATTCAGATACTCAATCTCTGATTTTAACGAGTTTTTGACACAGAGAATGAACCACCCATCTAAATATGGTATTAATTCCATCTTTATATGTTTTGTTTTCTTAATGATCTTATTAATTATACATGGTTTTGATATCATTATACTAAAGCAACCATGTTTTTGTTTTGTGATAAATTGTTGGAAAATTGTAAGGTTTCGTGGAAGGGGAGGCGGCATGCTGTGGAAGTGGTGTATATGGAGGAATTTATAACTGCGGAGGAAAGAGAATCGCCAAAGAGTATAATTTATGCAAGAATGTTAGTGAATATGTCTTCTTTGACTCTGCTCATCCAACCGACAGGGTCTACGAACAGTTTGCCAAGCAAATATGGAGTGGAAATTCCATCACCACGCCTTACAATCTGAAAGCACTATTTGAAACTTAGCTAAGTAAGATTATTGTAAATGCAGATGATCTGATGCCCAATATAAATTTGTACTTTTTGATCCAAGTCACTTATTTTTTTTCTCTTTGATCTTAAATTTTTGTGAGAGTTATAATAAGAATGTTAAAGTGTACCTTTTGTGAGTATTGGAAATAAGGAATAATTTCGACACAAAAAATTATACCTTGGATGAAGATATATATATATATATATATATATATATATATATTTGAGCTTTTTCACTTGTATACTGTCAACTTCATGGGTTCTGACAATGTTGAACCAGGTTGTTATCATATCAACTGCAAGATTGTAAACCTGATTAGTATTTATTGTCTTGTTTTGCCAAATGGTTATTATTTTGGGTTTGCTCAACCAGCTGTTTGTGGATCATGACAGTATTTTATTAGCCATGTTCAACCAAAAACCAGAATGTCATTATGTCATACTTTATAGCCATGTGCGTTTAGAAGAGAGAAAAAAAAAAAAAAAAAAAAAAAAAATATTGAAACAAGAAAAAAATAAATAAACAAAATTGGCGTTTGCTCAAGAAGAAAAAAATATGCATAAGACTTACGCCTATGATGGCTTTTCTGGCGAGGGGAGGTGCAATTGCACCTCCTTGCGCCTTAATAGGTCTGCCACTAATCATATATGGGGCTGATCCATGAGATTATAAAATTTCTTTCCATGAGATTATATATAATGATCATTAAGCAAAGAAATTTTAATTTTGTAAAAAAATAATTATAATCATTGTTATTTACATATTGTTGTTGTTGTGATATATGAATTGAGTTCTAACATGCATGAAGAAAAATATATATAAAGGGGGGTGGTATATGAACAAACACTGCATTAAGAGTTGGAGCATGTACCTCCCTCTTCTCTCATTGGTGCAAACGATGGATAGGATAACTCTCTAGTCAAATGTTTGGTGGCCTAAAAACAACATGGATTGGATTATGTTTAACTAGGGCCAAATGTACTTAGTAGGATTATGAATCCTAACAAAATGTTGGGATTAAGTTGGATTGGATTATATCTAATCCTACTAAGCCATGTAATAGCACATTTCAATTATCCAACCCCTTATGTGTAGTACTAAACACATCATTTGATTAGTGTTATCATTTCCAATTAATTGTAATCCAATTAATCCAATTTTACCTCATATCCAATCCCAGTCACCAAAAATATTCCTAGACACCAAGGATTTTATACTGTATGTATTGAAAGGGTTGAGAAAAAGGCGAGCGGCAGGGGCATCATCAACCCCTAGGGGAAGTTTTATTTCATAGTTTATGAGCCATGGGTTCGGCAACTGCAATAATGTAAAGCGTGATTAGTATGTATTTTATTTTTTAGCAAGGGTTTCTACTATATTTTAGTATTTTTTATTGACGTATTGGTTGAGAATCTATTCTTTTGCCATTCGTGTATGGACAAGAAACTTTAACACAATCTATTTTTTAGCTAGGGTTTCTACTAAATTCCAGGTTCACAGCTGACTAAGCCCACTATGTGCCATAAAAAGTTTCAGCCATCTATAAAATTGAATTAAAACACAGGAAAAGATGATACAACACAAAGCTAAACAGAACCTACTAGCTAGAATGGCAGCTATCAGGTTTCAAATCTATATCTTGGCTTTCTGTGCAGCCCTGGTTATTCAAAGCAGCTGCTGCAATGGCCATTCTGGGCTTCAGAAAAAACGTGCAGCCCTGTTCGTCTTTGGTGATTCACTATATGATGCCGGAAATAATAACTACATAAACACTACCACTGATTTCCAGGCAAGTTGGTTTCCATATGGCGAAACATTCTTCAGGTACCCAACTGGTAGATTTTCTGATGGGCGTACAATCCCAGATTTCATTGGTAAGAATAATTCTGGGAGTACTATTGTTATTTTCAACATCACACTTGTTTCAGTCATTTCTTGAAAGTTGAAACACCTTAATTTAGTGCTAACTCAAAGCCACTGATAATACAAACACATTACATTCATGTTGCAGCTGAGTATGCTAAGTTGCCATTTATACCAGTATATTTACAACCAGGGCTCAACGACTATACTTATGGGGTGAACTTTGCTTCTGGTGGAGCTGGTGCTCTAGTTGAAACCTATCAAGGATCTGTATATGTTCTGGCTTATCATATATTTTCCATTATTAAGACGTTTATTTACAGTTGCAGCATCTGAATATGTATTTTCATCGTGTGAGTAATTCGTGTGCTTGTCCATTAGCAAGACTTGTTTGTGTGATCTCTTTTTTTTTCTTTCAGGTGATGGACCTTAAAACTCAGTGAGTCAATTCAAGAAGGTGGAGAAGCAGTTGAGACAGAAACTAGGTGATGCAGAAGCCTACACATTGGTATCCGAAGCTGTCTACATAATCAACATTGGAAACAATGATTATGTTTCCCCATTAGCAACCAATACCAGCCATGAAGAATATGTTGGCTGGGTTATTGGCAACGTGACAAGTTGGATCGAAGTAATAATCATAACTTTTATTTTGGATAAGTAACTTCATCCAAAATTATGAATCCGGAAAGATCTTTTGGATGAGTAACTTGATATGCATTTTGTCAGGATATATACCAGAAAGGAGGAAGGAAATTTGCACTTTCAAGCTTGGCACCTTTCGCTTCTATGCCACTCATGAGAACAACTCAACCAGCAGGATCCACCACAGGCCCTTCGAGGAAAGAAGTTGCAGCACTTGTGAAACTACACAATAGAGTACTTGCCAAAGTCCTCCTAAAGTTGAAAAAAGAGCTCCAAGGATTCAAATACTCAAAGCTTAATCTCTACACTTACCTAAAGGAAAGAATTAATCATCCATTAAAATATGGTATGCATAGCCATGGCATGATGGCACCTTCTCTCTCCTCTGAGTTATAGTTTCTTTTTAATGTTCCTTTTGTTTTTATTGTGTTGTAAAGGTTTCAAGGAAGGAAAGATGGCGTGCTGTGGCTCTGGTGCATACAGAGGAATTTATTCCTGTGGAGGGAAGAGAAGTGTGACTGAGTATCTGTTATGTGACAATGCTACTGAGTTCGTCTTCTTTGACTGTGCCCATCCAACTGAAAGGGTCAACAAGCAATTGTCCAAGTTATGGTGGAGCAATAACTTGAAGGAGCTATTTGAAGTTTAGACAAAACGTGGCTTGATACTTTCATAAGCAATTGCAGACACAATTTCTGTTTCGAAATAAATTAAAAAGTTTGATATGTTACCCGTTTATTTAAGTATTCACAACTTTCTCAGAGATGTTTTTGCTTTTTCCGAAATTAATAAAGCCTGTAAGACATGGAGAATAAATACTAATAAAGCCCGTAAGCAAATTATTTGAGTTATTGTCTTGTTTTGACAAATGGTTATTATTTTAGGTTTGTTAAACTAGCTGTTTGTGTTCAGAAAGGAAGGATAAATTATGAAAATAAGGATGTCATCATAAAATAATAATTACCATTTATTAAGTAATTTAATGTATGAAGTTAATTAAAATATTTAATTATTCACTAAAGAAATAATAATTAAAACATAATTACAAATGAAAGTAATTAAATAAGGCTAAGATATTATTTAATTAATAAAAAAGAAAATTCTGAAAAGGATATCTTAAGTGTATAGCCAAACGGCTATACTTTTCTATTTATAGAGTATCGCCGCCCGGCTGTACTCTATAAGTAGAATATTTTAGCAGTATAGCCGGTCGGCTATACTATAGATTTTAACCGTAGAGCCGAGCGGCTATATTCTTTAAATAGAATAATTTGAACGTACAGCTCCGCGGCTATACTCTATAAATAGAATATTTCAAACGTATAGCCGATCGGCTATACCCTCTAAATAGCATAATTTTGATTTCTCTTTTCTAATTACTTTATTAAGTAGTTATTTTTAATTACTATTTACTTAGTGAATAATTAGTATTTAAATATTTGATTAAAAAAAATAAAAAAAATTACTATTTATTAAGTAATATAAATTATGTAGTTAATTAAAATATTTAAGTATTCACTAAAAAATTAATAAATTAAAACATAATTACAAATGAAAGTAATTAAATAAGGCTAAGATATTATTTATTTACTAAAATGAAATTTTAAAATAAAAATTTATTGGACCTAAAGATACTAAACTTATATTTATTTATTTTTAAATCTCTCACGACGAAGTTTCGTTGGCACAGGTCTATCTCGGCGAAATTTTCTGGATTAGACCTCTACCGACGATATTTTGTCGGCATAGGAAATTTCGTCGGAAAGGTCTAATCCGGCAAATTTTGCCAGTATAGACCTGTATCGACGCAATTTCGTCAAGAGAGTTTTATTTTTATTTTAACAATTATAAATTTTTTAAACATATAAAATTAGTTTCTTTACTTTTATTTTTTGGCCAACTTCTTTAGTTTAATATATGCAATTAAGTAATCCAAGTCTCGAACCAAAAACCCAAGCTTCCGAAATTGTTTCAAAACCTTTCTCAAGCCTTGAACCCTAACCATAAGCTTACTAAGGAGTAGATACTTTCTCTTCTTTTCCAATGTGGGACTCAAGTTCATGTATTTCAATCAAATTCCAACAAGCAGTTGATATTATTGAATCGTGTTGTGACTCAAAGTAAACTTGTCTTCTTTTTCATGCATACATAACGCATGAAATTTTTTAATACTAGTTTCTTCGTTTTCCGATGATTTGTTACAGTTCATGTACAACTTTGTTCTTTGGATTATGAATCCGGAAAGATCTTTTGGATGAGTAACTTCATATGCATTTTGTCAGGACATATACTGGGAAGAAGGAAGGAAATTTGCACTTTCAAGCTTGGCACCTCTTGATTCTGTCCCAAGCATAAGAGCAATTCAAGCAGGATACACAGGCCCTTCCAAGAAAGAAGTTGCAGCACTTGTGGAACTACACAACAGAGTACTTGCCAAAGTCCTCCTAAAGCTGAAAAAAGAGCTCCCAGGACTCAAATACTCAAACCTTAATTTCTACACTTACCTAAAAGAAAGAATTTATCATCCATCAAATTATGGTATAGTTTCTGTTATTTGGTTTTTTCATACCCTGATAAGTCATGTCACCTTTTTAATGTTCCTTTTGTTTTTATTGTGTTGTAAAGGTTTCAAGGAAGGAAAGACGGCGTGCTGTGGCTCTGGTGCATACCGAGGACTTTGATTTGGTGTAATTACATGTGCTGCTGTGCATGCTATATACATGGTGAATAAGCAAATTATTTTTACTTTTGGCTTGAATATTCGTCCTTCACTATTGTTTTCAATCACTTTACGTATGTGGTTAGCGCAGCAACTGTATAGACATTTCAAAATCTGTGGGCCCTCTGTATGACTCCAAGAAACTTCATTGTACTACACAAATTTCCGATGGTTTCTTTTTCCCCAAGCAAATCAACAAGACCTATATATAGGCGTGAAACAGAAGAGAAGATTATACAAAGCAAACCAGAACCAGAATGGCAAGTTCAAGGCTTCATATATTCGTCCTGGCTTTCTGTGCAAGCCTTCTTTTTCCAAGCAACTGTAGCCATGGCGGTTCTGGGCTTCAGGAGAAACGTGCAGCGTTGTTCATCTTTGGTGATTCACTATTTGATGTTGGAAATAATAACTACATTAATACTACCATTAGCTTTAAGGCAAATAACTGGCCATATGGAGAAACCTTCTTCAAGTACCCCACTGGTAGAGCTTCCGATGGCCGTCTAATCCCTGATTTCATTGGTAAGATGTTGTAAACAATACTAAAAGTTTTATATATGTTCTTCAACACTAGTGATCATGCACATCTCTGATTGATCAATTTTCCATTAATGATGCAGCTGAGTATGCAAAGTTGCCATTCATACCACCATATTTACAACCTGGCTTCAACAACTACACTTATGGGGTGAACTTTGCATCTGCTGGGGGTGGTGCTCTATCTGAAACTCATCAAGGATTTGTATGGGATCCTCCTTATATATCAGAATTTTGATTTTAGGTTTGAAAAAGCATGTTGCATTGTCCATATATGGGGCTGTACAAGGTGTGAAACCAAAGTTGAGGGCTGACTTGTTCAATCTCTTCTGAGGAAGGAATCATTGTCGCAATGTTAAATTCTAAATGAAAAACCATACATTCTGTTTGGTGGACTCTGCCCCAAAACAGAGACTTCAAAATGTATACATTTATCTTAAAATATTGTACATGTAATGAAGCAATGTATAAATTATATGTTCTCTATCTCTTTATTAGCATGACTATAATTTCTTCTTTTCAGGTGAAAGACCTTAAAACTCAAGTGAGTTATTTCAAGAATGTCGAGAAGCAGTTGAGGCACAAACTAGGTGATGCCGGAGCGTACACATTTCTATCAGAAGCTGTTTACTTGATTAGCATTGGAATCAATGATTATTATACCCCAGTCCTAACAAATTCAAGTTTGTTTGCGTCCCACTCACATGAAGAATATGTTGGCATGGTGGTTGGCAATCTGACAGATGTGATCGAAGTAAATACATTATGTCTACTTTCTCAACAATATACAACACACATGACACGTTTCGATACTATTCTTCTTCTTTCTAAATTTCAGATGAGTTATTTCAAGCACATTATTTCAGGAAATATACAAGAAAGGAGGAAGGAAATTCGGGTTTGCAAATGGGGTTCCTCTCGGTTGTATACCTTCCATGAGAATACTTAAACCAGAAAACATAGGTGCCTGCTCGGAAGAAGTTACAGCACTAGTGAAACTACACAGCAGAGTAGTTGCTAAAGGCCTCCTAAAGCTGAAGAGCCAGCTGCATGGATTCAGATATTCAAATGCAAACTTCTACACTCCCTTAACTGATACAATTAATAACCCATCAAAATATGGTATATATAGACAGAGCACCTTCTCCTTTAGTTTTAGCTTCTCTTATTCGTTTTAATGTTCCTTTTGTTATTGTTGTTATGCTGTGAAGGTTTCAAGGAAGGAAAGATGGCATGCTGTGGCTCTGGTCCATACAGAGGAATTATGAGCTGTGGTGGGAAGAGAGGTTCAGAGTTTCAGTTATGTGACAATGTTACTGAATATGTCTTTTTTGACTCTAGCCACCCAACAGAAAGGGTTTACCAGCAAATATCCAAGTTATGGTGGAGTGGAAGTCCCAATGTGACTAAGACGAGCAATAATCTAAAGGAGCTGTTTGAAGTTTAGTTTCATAAGCAATTCTGCATTTTGCAGACAATTTCTGTTTCAAAATAAATTAAAGTTTGATACATCATCTTTGTAAATAAGTATTCGCCTCTTAAATATATGTATTTGATGCTTTATGTAATATAAATCTTGGCACCAAAATAAATGAAGAAAAAGTTGTACTAAATCCTGTAAGTCAGAACTAAGTGCCTATACTTTAGTAGGCCAATAGACATTAAGCAACTGATGAAGGGGGTCTTTTCATATTCTGTTTTCAGGTGATTTTTATAATGTTCCATAGAGGTCAAGATCATCATGAATGGGGGAATTTAGAAACTTTGGGGCGTGTTTGATAGGGATGACTAGACTAGACTAGCAAAATACCTACATTTCATGTGCATTCAAGGCATAATATGGATATGCTGCCTAACTTGGGGGAAGAATGACGACTATCTATAAGAGGTTGATGACTAAAACTTATCCCTCAATCCCCTTGAAAATGGTAGGATCGCGAGGGATAGGTTTTAGTGATCAACCTCTTATGATAGTCCTCCTTCATCCTCCGAGTTAGACAACAATATCCATATTATGCCTTGATTGCACATGAAATGTAGCCACTTTACTAGTCTAGTCTAGTCTGATATTTCCTCACAAACGAGGCATAAAATACCAAAACTATTGCCTACACTAGCCAAAACTAACAATACCAACAACACTACCTTTGTGAAGAATTACAACTCAATTAATGTATGTTTGGAAACCAAGAAAAAGAGAGAAAACCAAGTGAAGCAGGGTTCAATTTCTTGCTTTTATTAACCTAAACAAAGACATACATCAGATTCGGTTATATTGACTACAGGTTAAAGCACAACTAGCTTAACAGATCTCAATCTCTAACCATGAACTAACTCTGGTTTTGTTAGCTGAATTAAATTGACTTTGACTTCTAGAAGCTTTGGCTGCTTTTCAATGAGAAGATTTTTTGGAGGAAGGCTGCTGATGAAACTGAAGATGAAATTGCAAATTTTCCATTTATTGACTTTTAGTTCCCAAACTTTGCTGCAGCTATTTTTTTTTCATTGGATTATGAATGGTCAACTTAGCAAAAGTTTCTACTGTATAATCTATTATTTTGTGTGATTGAAGCTAATAATATTTGAAAACGTCTTATCCAAGTTGATAATAAAGACAAAAATTTTCAACTGCATCATGCTAAGCATCAACCTACTCTCATTTGTGTCATCTTTTTCTTTTTTAGTTCACTTTCCTTGTCTTTTCTTTATGTTATCTGGACCAGGAAGAAAATTCCTTATTAAATTGAATTGAAACAGAGAAAAAGATGATATAATGCAAAGTTATACAGAACATACAGGAATGGCATCTTTCAGGTTTCAAATCTATATCTTGGCTTTCTGTGCAGGCCTTGTTATCCAAAGCCGTTGCAATGCCCATTCTGGGCTTCAGAAAAAACATGTAGCCCTGTTCATCTTTGGTGATTCACTCTATGATCCTGGAAATAATAACTACATAAATACCACAAAAGATTTCCAGGCAAATTGGTTGCCATATGGTGAAACATTCTTCGGGTACCCAACTGGTAGATTTTCTGATGGGCGTTTAATCCCAGATTTCATTGGTAAGAACCATCTTGTGAGTAATATTGTTTCTTTCAGACATTTCTTCAAACACCATTGCTTTTAACTGACAGCAACTGATAATACAAACACATGATACAACTAATTATTAAATTTAAATTCATGTTTCAGCTGAGTATGCCAAGTTGCCAATTATACCAGCATATTTACAACCTGGGTTGAAAGACTATACATATGGGGTGAACTTTGCTTCTGGTGGAGCTGGTGCTCTAGTTGAAAGCCATCAAGGATTTGTATGTGCTCTGGCTTATTATATGCTTTCCCTTGTTAAGACTTCTAGTTACAGTTGCAGCATCTGAATATGTATTTTCGGTAATTCTCGTGCTTTTCGTTAGCATGATTTGATTATGTGATCTGTTGTTTTTAGGTGATAGACCTTAAAACTCAACGAAGTCAATTCAAGAAGGTGGAGAAGCAGTTGAGGCAGAAACTAGGTGAAGCAGAAGCCTACACATTGCTGTCCAAAGCTTTCTACTTAATCAGCATTGGAAGCAATGACTATTCTATCCCATTAGCCACCAATACCAGCCATGAAGAATATGTTGGCTGGGTTATTGGCAACCTGACAAGTTGGATCGAAGTAATCTTATCTTCTTTTTCACACATACATATCACGCGAAAAATTTTAATTCGAGTTTCTTCTTTTTTCTATAACTTGTTACAATTTGTATACAACTTTGTGTCTTCTGATTATGAATCCGGAAAGATCTTTTGGATGAGAGATTTGATATACATTTTGTCAGGATGTATACAAGAAAGGAGGCAGGAAATTTGGATTTTCAAGCTTGGCCCCTCTTGCTTCTGTGCCAAATATGAGAGTGATTCAACCAGGAAACACAGGCCCTTCCGGGAAAGAAGTTACAGCACTTGTGAAACTACACAATAGACTGCTTTCCAAAGTCCTCACAAAGCTGAAGAAAGAGCTCCAAGGATTCAAATACTCAAAGCTTAATCTCTACACTTACGCTAAAGAAAGAGTTAATTATCCATCAAAATATGGTATGCGTAGCCATGACATCTTCTCCTTTAAGTTATAGTTTCTCTTATTTGGTTTTGTCATAAACTGATAAGTCATGTCTCCTTTTTAATATTCTTTTTCGTTATTACTGTGTCGTAAAGGTTTCAAAGAAGGAAAGGCTGCGTGCTGTGGCTCTGGTCCGTACGGAGGAATTAATACCTGTGGCGGGAAGAGAGGTGTTACTGGGTATAAGTTATGTAACAATGTTACTGAGTATGTCTTCTTTGACTCTTTCCATCCAACTGAAAGGGTATACGAGCAAGTGTCCAAGTTATGGTGGAGCCATAACTTGAAGGAGCTATTTGAAGTTCAGGCAAAATAGGGCT